TAGGTTTTTAGAGAGTATAGCCTGACAGAATAGAACGTCATAAATTATAATCATCCAAATATTTTATGCTAGACCACAAAGCGTCTCCTTACCCCTAAAATTTCAAAATGACCCCCAGGTTGAAAACCCCCTATCTTAGGTTTTTAGAGAGTATAGCCTGACAGAATAGAACGTCATAAATTATTATCATCCAAAAATTTTATGTTAGACCACAAAGCGTCTCCTTACCCCTAAAATTTTCAAAATGACCCCCAAGTTGAAAACCCCCTATCTTAGGTTTTTAGAGAGTATAGCCTGACAGAATAGAACGTCATAAATTATTATCGTCCAAATATTTTATGCTAGACCACAAAGCGTCTCCTTACCCCTAAAATTTTCAAAATGACCCCCAAGTTGAAAACCCCCTATCTTAGGTTTTTAGAGAGTATAGCCTGACTGAATAGAACGTCATAAATTATTATCGTCCAAATATTTTATGCTAGACCACAAAGCGTCTCCTTACCCCTAAAATTTTCAAAATGACCCCCAAGTTGAAAACCCCCTATCTTAGGTTTTTAGAGAATATAGCCTGACTGACATAGAACAACTTCAATTATAATCGTCCAAAAATTTTATGCTAGACCACAAAGCGTCTCCTTACCCCTAAAATTTCAAAATGACCCCCTCCCCCAGGTTTAAAACCCCAGGTATAAAAGCTCTAGTAGACTTACTTCATTAAATCAGTAAAGGCCCAACCATCAACCCAATTTTCTACAAACTGAGCACCTTGTCTCTGGGTAACGAATTGGCCTAAACGAAGTCTGTTTTCCATACACTTTTGTCGAGTCGTCTTTTTCACTAGTTCACTCTGTTGAAGAAAAAACAAAATCCATAACAAATCAACTAAACAATTCTATAAGTTCATCTCAGAATAGAAATGTCCTTTTTGAAAATGAAATGAAATGAATGGACTTTTACGTCCTACTTTTCTGCACCATGTGGGTTAATGAAGCAGGCAACGCCATGCAGTGTGCAATGAGGGAAATTTTACCAGGACAGTGGCATTAGCCTGCTCTTTTTCAATCTCCAACTGTCGAGGGATCTTTAACGTGTACAGCCTGTAGCACACGGGACCTCGGTTTATTGTCCCATCTG